TTTGAATTTGTATTCAAAGTGCGAGAAATTGATATTATCTTTGAATGCAATTATTGTTTTCAATGCTATTTATTTAATTTAGTTGTTAATTGTTTTGTAACAGTCAAACGGGTGAGAGATTCAACACATTTTGAATATTTTGTACACTATATGACCGATTATTACGATTTTAACGCAGTCTTTAACAATAGTATATCTCACTCTTTGAATGCAATTAAATTGTATTAAAATAGCTGTTAATTATATCACAAATATTTGTCATTAAAATCAATGAATATTCAAAATTATTTAAAAGTATTTAAGTTATAATTTTTGAGACAATAAATGAATCCAATGGTCAGAGAAGTGAACTCATGTGACATTCTGTGTCTCGCATTAAAACACATGAAAAACAAACTTATTTTCATTACAACGCGTTTCGAAATCAAAAATCACTTTAATTTTATTAATCAAAAAATAATAATATAAACATTTGCTTCAAATTCTGTCCGAAACCTAATTTTATAACAAAAACTTACATTAAATAAAATACATATAAAAAGACCAACGATTATACAAACAATGGTTTTCATGCAATATATGACAAAATTACTTAATATTTATAAGCATTTAATCCAACGTTTATTACGTATAATCCAATTGGCGTTACAATGTATTCGCGTTATAATCAACAATAATTGCAATTATTGCAGTCATGTATTCAATAAATAATTACTTAAATAAAAGTAAACTAAATAAATATTACAATTAAACTAAATTTCATTATATAAACTACTATTGAACTAAAATATCAAATTAAAAGTACACTTTATAGTTAACCCGTTTATAGGCAACAAAAATACACTTTAACTGAACGCTAAAACCGGTATAAATTGTTTGTTTCACTAATAAATAGCTTATCACACAATCGCCCGAACAGTCCATTCATATAATTGTGGGCCAAATGTGCGGTCATTTTCTAATCGGCGGTCGCGTAAGACTTTGGGTCTCTTTTCTGTCGTCAAACTCTACGGTCTTTCGATACTTCGGACGAATCGGTTCCGGGAATGAGTGAGCGCTCAGACCAACCGATTGGTGCCATAATATGATGTACACGACGTACGACCACGTGTTGAAAAAGCCCAACAGATATGCCATTAATCCGTACGCGAAGTAAAAGTTTAACGAAAAGAGTATCTATTTATCCCAAAAACACAAATATAATGTTTATAACCACCAAATGCTCACTCATGTAATCAGTATTTCATTGAATACATACGTGACAAGTGATAAAGAATATGAAAAAGAAATGTCTTAAATGGCAATAAGTGGCCACAAAACCGGTGCTATTGGTTCCGTACAATTGCTGGCGCCGGGAGTATATGATATGAGCCAAACATAGAGTGATCGGCGTATGGAGTAATACCAGCTTTAAAGTCGATTACAAGACATCAAAATTACAAATATTTACTACATTTATAAACAGCAGAACAGCTAAACCGATGATATACTGACCACTAAAGTGCCGAGAATATAAGTGATACCTCCGGGCAAATACGAGCCGTCGATAATCATTCCCCACACAAAACATACGCCAATGTAATCGTCTAACACATAGCCCACAAACCACGGACCTGTTCATCGAGATATCAATTATGCCATTAATGATAAGTACAATGAGATCAAGACATGCGATGACAGACCACAAGTGGCGTAAAGAGGTATAGCAATGATAGGAATGAATATTCGGTTTAAATTCGATAACAAATATAATTTGAAGAGAAATCGTCGACTTGTGTTAGTTTCGGCCAA